CCCCCCCCGCCAGTGGCTCATGATAACTACCCAACGGCTGAACTCTTTGCCAAGGAAATCGAATCAACCTTTTACGAGGAACGAGCCTTGGACATGGTGGACGGGCCCTTCACTCGCTCCGAGGCGGCAGAGAGGTGCCGCTGCAAACCGGAGGAACTTTGCCCGGGCCCCCTTGCAGGGATTGATGAGTCGGACAAGATCAGGACGATCTATGATGGCTCAAAAGGGGGAGCAAACGCACACATCCAGGCTCACACGGAGGAGAAGACCACCGCACCGATGGTTGGAGACTGCCTCCATGCCATCCACTGGCTCAGGACAGCGGCGGACCATCCTCATCTACTCCGAGCCCCATCCTCGGGCACTGATGAGGAACCTCGGGATGTTCACCAGCCGGTGCAGGGGCAGTCCCCAGGTGCCGAGGGCCCTGAGAGGGACCCCCACAGCACCAGCCTGCCCCCAGGTGCCGAGGGCCCTGATAGGGGCAGGCGGATGATGGAGACCTCCGGCGGCCTGGACGTCTCTCCGCGGTCAACACCCTCAGGGAAGGGGCCACTCCCAGGTGCCGAGGGCCCTGATAGGAGGGCCCCATTCCCCCCAACCCCCCAGGCACGGAACGCCCTGGGGGGAGCAGGGGGGAACCCCTGACGTGGCAGCCGCCGACACAGGGGGAAACCTTCATCATCCTCAAGGCGGATGTCACCAAGGCCCACAGGCGCATAAAAGTGCTCCAGAAAGACTGGAAATACCAGGTGGCCTGCATCCAGAACCGGTGGTGGGTCAATAGAGTGGGCACGTACGGCATGGCCTCGGCACAACTGTACTGGGGAAGAAAGGCATCCTTGGTGCTCAGACTCTTGTACTACATCTTCCCTCAGGTGGACTGGCACTTAGTTTTTGTGGACGACTACTGCTGGGTCCTCAGATGCAGCAGGGCGGACTGGGACGCCACAGCCATCCTGGCCACTCTTCTGGCGCTGGGAGTCCCGCTTTCTTGGAAGAAGACGGCGCTCTCCCCGGTCAATACCTGGTTGGGATTCGTGGTGGACCCAATCACGCCCTGTGTGCTGCTGGCTCCAGTCAAGCACGTCATAATCCTGGCCACTCTCAAACGGCTGGCCCAGGGGGACATCTTTACCAGCAAGGAGGTGGAACAAGCCCTGGGCCGGATTCAATGGGCTACTTCGGCGTGTCCATTGACGAAACCTTTCCTCCAGCCCTTTTGGAGCTGGAAGAAGGCCTGCACCACTTCGGGCAGGCCACCGAAGCTGGTTCGTGCTCTGGCCATCCTTCTGGGGAAGCTCTTCAACCAGAGGTTCCCACTGGCATCTCCATTTGCTCCCACACTTCCATGGACGGGGGCATCTGATGCGGGAGCTGGCAAACAGGCGGACCATGCATGGGTTGGTGGTTGGTGCTCGGACGTGCCCAACCCCGACAAGTCCCGAGTGAAGTGGTTCCAACACAGAATCACACCGGAGGGCGAGCCGTGGGCCTTCACTACTGGGGACCCGCAGCGGGCGATAGCGGCCTTGGAGCTCTTCGGCCTCCTCCTTTTGGTGAGGGCTGTTCTGCTTTGTGCAGCCGGCTCGGCTTCTCACACTAGGATTCTGGTTGCTAGTGATAACCAGGGAAACGTTTTCTCCCTGCTTAACGATTCCACTCGCAGGATGCCCAATGCGGCCATCCTCATGGAAATTGTGTTAACACTGCATGACCACCAGGTCATGTTAGGACCGTCGCATGTGAAGCGCGACTTTAACACATGGGCGGATGAACTTACTCATCCGGACCCGCAATTTCCGACTGAGAACCGGGTCTTCCCCTCAGTCGAAAGCGAATTGATCAAGCTGATCTTCGCTACTTTCCTTCCTCACCCATGATGCCGGGAGGGCATCCGGTGAGGTGGGAGGATTCCTCCCTCGCTGTGGGAGTGGCATCAATTCTACTCCCATCAGCTGCTGAGGGGAGCTGCCCAGTGGAGCTGGGCAATCCTCCCATTTTGGCACTAATCCTTATGCGGCGTAAAGGATGCACCGTTTCGCGATTAAGGTACCAGTAGCACCAATGTGGTGCTTTGAAGAGTCATATATATATATATATATTATACAGAAATTATTGACTAGGTCCCCCAGTAGTGCCCTTTTACCCTTTTTTGGGGGGAGGGTTCCCCTACTAAAATAGACTAACGAAATAAGCTCAGGTGGTATCCCCAACAGCTAGGCGGTGTAAGGAAGGTTCCGGAGGTTCGGGCTGGTCCGGTGTAAGGTTCAAGGAAGGTTCCGGAGCTCCCGGGGTGGTCCGGTGCAGGCCAGGTGTAAGGTTCAAGGAAGGTTCCGGAGGTTCCGGGGTGGTCCGGTGCAGGCCAGGTGTAAGGTTCAAGGAAGGTTCCGGAGCTTCCGGGGTGGTTCGGTGCAGGCCAGGTGTAAGGTTGGTTCCGGAGCTTCCGGGGTGGTCCGATGCAGGCCAGGTGTAAGGTTCAAGGAAGGTTCCGGAGCTTCCGGGGTGGTTCGGTGCAGGCCAGGTGTAAGTAGGTTCAAGGAAGGTTCCGGAGCTTCCGGGGTGGTCCGGTGCAGGCCAGGTGTAAGGTTCAAGGAAGGTTCCGGAGCTTCCGGGGTGGTCCGGCGCAGGCCGCCAGGTGTAAGGTTCAAGGAAGGTTCCGGAGCTTCCGGGGTGGTCCGGCGCAGGCCAGATATATGTTCAAGGAAGGTTCCGGGTCTGAGACGCAACGAGCAGAGAAATCCTAGACCTTCTTCCTTGAACCTTCCACCTTTCCTGCACCACACACCCGGAACCTCCGCAACTTTCCGAACCTTACATCTGGCCTGCGCCGGACCACCCGGAGCCTCCGGAACACTCCAGAGCTCCCCCGAGCCATTCCCAAGCCTTATCTGGGCTGAGACCCCTTAGCTTTCAGCTGTTGGGGAAAAAAGGGTGCCCTTACTCTATACTGGAGGACCTAGTTACTGATTTGGAGCTCTCTCTCTCTCTCTCTCTCTCTCTCTCTCTCTCTCTCTCCCTCTCCCTCTCCCTCTCCCTCTCCCTCTCCCTCTCCCTCTCCTCCTCTCCTCTCCCTCTCCCTCTCCCTCTCCCTCTCCCTCTCCCTCTCCCTCTCCCTCTCCCTCTCCCTCCCTCCCTCTGTCTCTTATATATATATATATATTTACAACATGGATGTATCTAAACTGTATAAATCTATAGATGCATAGTGTAAATATATATATATATATATATTTATTTCATGTATATATATATATATTTATTTATACACGTGTCCATATGTGTTTGTTTCCCCGGTTGGCTTTTGCAAGTCACAGCATGGCCTGGTCCCTTACCTGAAAATGGTTTCGGAGGCTCTGTCGGAAGCCCTCTGAAGCCCAGCGGGATCTTTAATCTTTGGGTTTCCACACGTTAGCCAATCCAAGGAGACCCGAAGAAACCCGGAGCAGAAGGAGCGTGGCTCAAATCTTTGCACACGTCGCAACGGCGAGCCTCGCTTCCGGTTACGCCTCGCTGTCGGTTTTTGGCGCTTGCTGCTAAGAGCTGCCCTTCAGGAGGTTCTCATTCCGCTTTCCGAGTGGGTTCGGTTCGACCTACTTGGGGAAAGGAGAAGCCAGTGGCAACCCTTTAACTTCACTGTGGTTGGCATGGTTCAGTTGTTTGTTTTTTTGATTTCATTTTAGTGGGCTAAACAAAACACAGCATGTGGGTCCCACACCAAGGGTTGGAAAGTTAGAAGTTTTTGGGCTGTTGCTTGACGGAAGGATGACAAGTTATCGTACCCATTGACCAACGCATTGACAGTTGCAAAATGGAGGTGAATGTGTCTTTCGCCCGCGGCCAAAAGTATGTTTGCCTTAGCTTCCCTTAGGCTCCGAGCGAGGGATTTTGGTCCAAACACCCTGAGGCAGTGGTTTTCGGGTGGAAACCGTCTTGTGAACAAAATGTGTGGGGCGCAAACCATGGGCAGCCTGAGTTTGTCGACACCTATGAACCCATGGCCAATTTGGAGCGCCCTGCGGCGTTCTTGACAAAGCCGTATTTAGCGATGAATTCACAAAGGAACTAGGGGATCATACCAGACGTCTGCATACAGGTTCGCAGAGTCTCATTAGGGGGCAAAGCAAACCACCAAAACATGACTGCCGACCATCTCTGTAGTGGGGAACCATCCCATCGCAAATTGGCACGAAGATGTCTTTGACGACTCGCCAACGTCGATCTCGGGTCTGGGCTGAAGTGGATCACAGAGTGCCAGTTTCAAAGCTGAGAGCGTCCTCACAGGGATGCTCTCGAGACGTACAAAGGTCTTTCCTGGCTAAGCAATCGTATTTTGCGACATCGTTCCGCACCGGTTCCGCAACGAAAACGAGAAGACTCAAAAGTCGAGAGGAAAACACTAAATGCAAACAACGAGAAGCTCAAAACATGAACACGCTCAAGCAAATCTTAAGAGAAATATCCAACGGCACAAAAAAACATCAAAGATAAGAAACACAACCATATTTTGTGTTTTTCAGTTTGCTGGGACCTGGAACTTTGTGTTTTCCTTTTCTGCTTTTTTTTTTTCGGATTGTTCACTCTAGTTGCGTCTTTTAGAGTTTGCAGTTTATTTGTTGCGCCATCTGTATTTGTCAGATATTCTTTTAATTTTCGAGCTTTCGTGTTTGCATTGTTGTTTTCTTATTATGATTATGGTGTGGTGTGCATTTGGGTTACCCGTTGCACCCAATACCTTTTTTGTTTTTCTTTTTTCTTTTTCGGGTATGATGTCGACCCGCTACTCAAAAAGGGATCGGCGTTTATTCTGGGAAAACCAGGTGTTCAACAGAACTACCTGGAGTCTCCATGACCCTTCAACCATGGGTCCATGACCCCATTAGTTTGGGTACTGACCCCATTTTCAAGGGTCCTTAGGGAGACTCCAGGTACCACAAAAAAGATATTGTATCTGGAGGTTATGGGGGTAAGTGGGCCTTAGACGTTCGGGGTCCGAGCAGGAGCGTGGTGCGATTGGCCTATGACGCCTCCAAGGCACACCTCGCTCGACGGAAATACCGAGGGCGAGCCGTGTGACCCTTTGTTGGGATGCGGTGCATCTGATGTTCTCGGTTTCTCTTTGTTGCTGCTGCTTGTTCGCTTGTGTTCGTTTGGTAGTTTGCGTGTTTGTGTTTGGATGGCCGTTGTGTTTTTTTGTATGCTTCTGGAAGCAAAACCTAGGCCCTCAGAGTTGTCTTGTTATTTGCTGTTTATCCTGTTGCACAACAAGAACACTCAGGGCGCCCTCTAGTTGCTTGTTGTTCTCTTTGAACAAGTCTAGGCACCCTCACAGTCGGTTTCTGTTCTGTGCTTTTCTTGCAAGACCAAGCACGATTTCTGGGCCGCTGTTCAAAAGGTTCAACTGCAAGGCGCGTTGAAGAGTCCGATTGTAGACTAGAATTTGTTCCAACAACAACACCCTGCATACACCCTAGATAAATCTATCAATGTAGTTTGACTTTGCTTAAGTTTTTATTTGTAACTAGCCCGTATTTCGTGGTGTTTTTTCGGCTGTACAGCCAGGGTACGGACACATGCCTGTGCGTGGCTGATTTCCGAACGTTTGACTCAAAATTTGGGGTGTGTTTTTTGTGGGGGCCCACGAAATGCCAAGAGTTTCCCTTTGGTTTCCCTGCAACCATATAATATCCACTACCCACAACCCTCCAATTTAATACAAGATTCTACCTTACCAAATAACCATAACAAACATTCTAGATATTAAAACCGAAAACCAATTCCTACCGAAATCTTCAAAATCATCAATGATAATCTTAAAGTGAGATTCTGGCACTTGTTGAAGCTGTTTAATTTGCTGAAGAGCATGCTATATCTCCCTGTCGGCCGGAAAGCGGGAATCTAGCATTACGTCTCGCTGTTCGTTTTTAATGTTTTCCTGGGCACTTCAAGCAAATGCCCAGGCGCCCCTTAACTGGTGGTGTGGATTGGTGGTGTGGATTGGTGGTTTGGTGATCTTCCGGGGTGGTTTCCCATTTACCCTCTAGAAGAAGCAAAGACTTGTTCAAATCCAAATCCAAAAGTATATGAGGGCCTTCCACCCTCAAAGGGCCTCAAAGATTGAGGTCCAAGCGGCTAGGGATTTCTGGGCCTCAGGGTTTCTTACGGTAAGAGCTAAGGCCGGTTTAGATCGAGGTTCGCGCTCGAATTGCTGGCCCTGTGCGTAAAAAGTTGTCTTCGATACAACTGTCTCGCACAAAATTAGGTTTGCGCCAGTGCGTGCGCTCTCGTGGTGGCGCCACGCGCCCTTTTTCAGTTTTTGCTGGCAGGGGCGTGGGTACGCGCTGGTGCGTGCGCTCTCGTTGTGGCGCCGTGCGCATTTTGTGAAGACAAATGCATTTTTGCTGGCGGGGACGTGACGCGCGGAGGTTCGCGCTATGTTTTTTTTCAGGAAGCCTCGTACCAAACGCGTATTTTTGAGACCAAAGTGCCGTTTTTTGATGGCAGGGCCGCCACGCGATGATATCTTCTTGTCGGGTCAGGCTGCCACGCTTGGACAATCGGCGCTCTAAAGCCATGGCAGTTGTCGCAAAAAGTTGTCTTGCGTGCGACAGCTTCGCATGAAACGAACCTTTCTTCAAAACTGCGCTCTCGCTGTGGCGCCGCGCTGATCTTCGGATTTGTGTGTTGCCGCAGAATTCTGTGGCCAGCGCAGCATTCTGTGAGACTGCCATGCGTTTTTCGTGGTGGGCGCAGTATGCTTTGCGTTGGTGCAAAAGGATGTGTGGCAGGCGCAGCATTTTCGTAAACAGGATCTGTGAATTTCGTGGCAGGCGCAGCGTTTCACTCATTTGTAAGCGTTGCAAGACGAAAGTGAACCCTTTGAAGAGATCGTGCGTGTCGAAGCGCTCTCGCTGTGGCGCCGTGCGAATTTGGCTTGAGCTCGGCGAACCCTTTGCGGAGATCGTGCGTGTCGAAGCGCTCTCGCTGTGGCGCCGTGCGAATTTGTCTTGAGCTCGGCGAACCCTCTGCGGAGATTGCGCGTGTCGAAGCGCTCTCGCTGTGGCGCCGTGCGAATTTGTCTTACTCGTGGCGAACCCTTTGCGTAGATCCTGCGTGTCGCAACGCTCTCGCTGTGGCGCCGTGCGAATGTGCCTTGCTCTCGGCGAACCCTCCGCGGAGATCCTGCGTGTCGAAGCGCCCTCGCTGTGGCGCCGTGCGAATGCGTCTTGCTCTCGGCGAACCCTCTGTGGAGATCCTGCATGTCGAAGCGCTCTCGCTGTGGCGCCGTTCGGTTTTTCTGTTCTCTTTGCTTGCGAAGCGGTGTTTGGAAGTTGTCTCGTGGTTTGCGCCGCTGCTTTCACGATTGCGCGCTGTCTCAGGTTCCACCTGCTTGGTCCGCGGCAGCTCCGGCTTGAAAACAGCAACTTTAATTGCGAAAGTAGTACGCGAAGAGCATTCTCAGGTTCCGGCTGCAATATCGCAACGTCTCAGTGCAAAAGTAGTACGCGAAGTGCGCTTCCGCAGTTCCGGCACGAGGTTTGCAAGTTTCCAGTACAAAAAGTAGTATGCGAAGCGCGCTCCCGCAGCTCCGGCCCAAAAAATCGCAAGCTTTAAGTACAAAATAGTACGCGAGGAGCACTCCCAGAGCTCCGGCTGCAAAATCGCAACTTGTAAGTACAAAAGTAGTACTCGAAGTGCACTCCCGCAGCTCCGGCTACAAAATCACAAGTTGTAAGTACAAAAGTAGTACGTGAAGAGCTTTCAGAGAGCTCCGACTGCAAAATCGCAAGAGACCTCTACAAAAGTAGTGCTCGAAGTCCATTCCCGCAGCTCCGGCTCTGGCTTGAAAATTGCAACTTTTATTTACGACAGTAGTACGCGAAGAGCGTTCACAGAGCTCTGGCTGCAACATCGCAACTTCTAGGTGCAAAAGTTGTACGGGAAGAGCATTCCCGCAGCTCCGGCTGTAAAATCGCGCTTTTTAAGTACAAAAGTAGTAAACCCAGGGAGTCCAAAGGCCAGAGTTACGGAGGCCGTTTAAACACGGAGGTTTTTTTACGGCCTTTTTACGGGGTGTTTACGTCCTTTTTATGGCCTTTTTACGGGGTGTCTACGGCCGTTGACAAAAGGCCTTATAAGTTACTCAGGCCGAGGAAGCTCTGGGAAACGAAGAGCACTCCGGACGGAGCTCCGGCTGCAAAATCGCAATTTTAAGCTCAAAAGTAGTACTGGAAGTGCACTGCCGCAGCTCCAGCTTGAAATTTGAGAATCGCAACTTGTCAGCGCAAAAGTAGTGCACGAAGTGCAATTGGCAGGTTTTTATAAGTGCAAAACTCCTACGCGAAGTGCGCTCCCGAGCTCCGGCTGCAAAGTTGCAACTTTTAAATGTCAAAGGAGTGTACGAAGGGGCACTCAACTCGCCAAAGTTGTACATAAAGTGCATTCCCACAGCTCCGGCTGCAAAATCGTAAATGGCTACGTGAGCGCGAAGCGCGCTCGCGCAGCTCCAGGTAGTATGCAAAGCACACTTCCGCAGCTAAAATTGCCAGCCTTCTTGCGCAGCCAAGGTGCTCACAGATATGGACAAGAGAGTTTTTCAAGAGAGGACATGAAATATTTGGCAAGAGAGGTTGCAGAGCATCATGCGCAGCATCATGCGCTGCATCGCGCGCAATGTCATGCGACATCGCGCGCAACATCACCCGTAACATCACGCACAGCTTCGCGCGCAACATCAAGCCACAGCATCACGCGCGCGAGAAGTTGACAGGAGAGATTGTGAAGCCTGATGCTAAGCTTGCTCGTCAGATTTCGCAGAAGCTATGCTTGAGCAGGGGCACCGGCGTGTTTACGATCTCATCAGGTGGGAGAGGTGTCAGTGTTTATTTAACGTCTTTCTATGCTTTTGGGCCACCTGTCGTCAAGTTAGACCCAATACTATTTGGGGTCTCTATCCGGGATATTTTTTTGCGTAAATCAGCCGTATGAAACCCATATATGTTCTTCGACATGTTGTCCAAAAGAAAAACAGCCGTATGGCCATTTTTTCCAGTCAAAGGCGTGTGACCAAAAAACAGGCCATATGGGGTCCAAGGCTCTAGGTACTTTTTAAAGGCCACCCGCTTGGTTCTTCAATTTTTTGCGTTCACGACTCGGGACTCCAGACTCCTGACTCGCAACTCGCGGTGCGAGTCTAGTTCTCAGGTAACCCGGGGCCCGCACCGGTCGTTTGGAGCCCGATGCGTTGGATCTGGATTTAGATTGCTTGGTTGTTGTAGAGGGAAGATGGGAAACCACCACGGAAGACCACCAAACCACTAATTCAAACCGTACCTGGAGTCTCCATGACCCTTGAAAAATGGGTCCATGACCCCATTATTTTGGGTAATGATCAACCATTTTTAAAGGGTCATGGAGACTCCAGGTAGAGGTACGCTGAGGTTCCTTCAGAAAGCGGTGCGATCATCGTCGCTTTCTTAAACTCGGTTTGCAGCCGCTGTCTAATTAATGAGTCATTCGAGCTCCTCCGGAGGTTCGTGTAGCCTTCTCCCAAGTGGATGCCACCTTTAACTTGTTGGGGAAACTGGAAACCGGGCAATTCCCTTTCTTCCACTTGCTGAACTGTTTTTTCATTATTATGGTCCCTTGTTGGTTTTAAAGGACACCGATTGCACTGGATTTGTTCACAAAAGCACAGGGAAGCTTACGGGAAGTCAGCGTAAGACCCAAGTAAGGCTTGAAGGGAACCAGAGCGTGTTTCAAGTTGTTTGACCCTAGGGCCAACTTGCTCCAAAAACCGATCCGAATCTTTCCAAAGGTAGTGGTTTGCGGGTGGTAAAGCTTGAGTTTGAGGACGCATACTATGAACCCAGGCCAATTTGGCGCGCCCTGTGCCTTTTTTCACATGACGAGGCTGTAACTAGTTCAGTTCACCAAGGGACTACGGACTAGGGGTTCATAGCAGAGGTCTATTGTACAGGTTCGCAAGAGTCTAGCTAGCAGCCTCAACCAAAGCCTGAGTGGACACTTGGGCG